AAGTCCATAAGGACACAAAACGACAACCCGTTTACTTCTCTCTAAGAGCAAAGACAGTAACTGGAATATGAATTGATAGGAATACTTTTTTGGCACAAAATACCTTATAATTTATGCATCTGAGGTTTTTCTATCGAGAATTTAGCGTGCTTTTCTGTTTCGTAACAGATTTCAGAACCAGGGCAGGCTTGAAGCCTTTTCACTCGCGAAGATCTTCTTTGACGCAAATTAAGGTCCTGTTTGCCCTAAGGACAATGTCACCTAAAATAAATATAGCCTTATCTTAAGAAATTTAATAACTCGATACAAGCTACTTGACTGATTCCAGTATCCACATGGAATTGCCGGTAAGATATAATCTGCTTACATCTTAGCAGTGTTAAAATATGATATTGTTTGACTTCATCAAAACCTGCTAATATTTAAATGCACCTTAGCGGAGTTTTTATCAACCACCGGCTCGGACATAGTCTGATTAATATACACAAACCCTAATCGATTATAAATATCGAAATCTTGAACGTATTAGTAGAGTCCATAGAAAAATGAGTCGAAACCTAATTTTAGCATCCGCATTTGAGGCATCCTGTATGATTTTCATGTGGAATATCTGTCATTCCTATAAATATCAGCATATAGAGTTACGGTAACGAAAACAATTTCTGCTGTAGCGATTCAAAATTGAGAGGACGCGCTTCCGTTCTAAGGCACTAATATACCTTTCGAGTCGTCGGTTAATGCAAGCCAGTTTCCGCACGTAGTACTTTAAACGGAACAAAGGAGGAGCCTCTTCCAAGAAAATATGGTCGTTATAGCTAAAACCCCGTGTACCTCTGCCTTGCCCCTGTCCATCCTCTACTCCGTACCCCTAACCTTATCTGCCCTGTTAAGGGCGTTGGCGTTAGGCCACCTGCTTTTCGCCTGCTTGGCCGCCTGGGCATGTGAACCTATGCAGCTGGTACTGTTAAAGGAGAAACAACCGATATAGCGAACGGCCAGCGACCGGCTACTGCTATACCAATGCCAAGATGGTTCTGCGTCCACGTCGAGATATGTAGGACAGGTTGGGCAGAAGAAGGTACCACCGCAATGCGGCTGCTAGAGTTCGCTGGCAATAACAGTTCCGGTCCGCCGTGGCCGTCAGTGATGTTGTGAGCAGCTTCGGGTGGACGAAGTGACGGGTGCTAGGCTAAGATTGATACGAGCTCATTTCGCCAGTCAGCCAGCCAGCCAGCCAGCCAGCCAGCCAGGACGACGTCCTAAGCGAGCAAAATGGGGAGGAGCCTGTCGAAAAGCGGAGACTACCACTGCCAGCGGTATAGGCTCGCATAGAGGAGGGAAATGAAACGAACGGTGTTCGTACCACTTCTTGGTCTCTCTATCCCACTGCTAACCCCTCAACACACCGTATTCAAAGACGATACGAAAATGTATTCCGCTGTGTGAGCCTCTTTCTCTCTCGATGTCAGTTACCGTGAACTTGGCTAAAACGAATAATATATTAAGCAACATGAAAACCATGAAATCTACCGTGGAATCTAGCAGTTTTTAAAATCTTCATCTTTTTTCATTTAGCGAAGCCTGCTTATGAAGTTCTTAAGAATATCTTAGACTCGTGAATTTTTAGCAAAAAACTGGCTAAGCGACTGGTGTAATAGACCTATTAAGCATACATACTGGACTGTCGAAAAGATGTTGATTGTTTTTAAGCTAAAATAAGCAAATATTTTTGAAATTAAAAACGATGGTAATAAGTCAAATATGCACCATTCTGATTGATGACTTTTCGTCATTTTTCTGGTGACACCATAATCCCGTCACAGCAGAATTGTTATGGCCTCTGAATCAGAAGATGTAACAGGTGTTTTTTGCGTCTCTCCATTGACACCAAACTAACATCATCAAGGAAGAGTTCGAAAGGAACACTGAAACAAATGATCATCTGATGGTGCAAGATCCGACTTCAAATGTTCGATCCAAGTCCCCTCTACGCTTCTGCAGTTGGGTGGCTAAAGATGTATTTGATTTGTTGTGGAATTAGCTGAAGATGATGTTTGTTAGTTCCGGTCGATTTTTTTCAATAATTAGTGGTAATCTTGTTAGTTGTTGACGGTCGAGGTCTGAATGAATCATTTAGGTTAGCTAGGTGGAAACAGCTCATAATGCACGATTCCTTCCCAATCCGATCAAACATGAATCATCACCTACTCTGGCGTCAGTCTGTACTTTGTCACAGATTGCCCATGTTTGTCATGTTTGACCTATTTTTATCACTGTGACTTGATCTTGCTCAGCGTTGAAAAAAGTTCACGAACGGAGGTAATTCGTTTGCGTTAATTCGTGTGACAAACGAACACCGAACTTTTTTGTAGCCAGTTTCTTCAAAAGTGCTCAATGTTAAACGTTTAGTTTATTGCCGATATGATGGCTACTCACATGGCGGTATTGCTCAACTTTCGTAATAGTTCTATCAAATTTTCCTGCAATTAATTAAATACTACAAGGAACATCTTTAACACCGACACTTCTAGAACGAAAGAGAAACAGCCATCTTTGCGCCGTTTTTTTTTTGCGATAATGCATCTCAACCATAAATAGCAGTAATTTTTTTATGGGTCCGGACAACAGTGTGTCTCTATCGTAGTAAAACTGCAAAGAGGGCAATCTTTCTCAAAAATTTCACTCATCATTAAGGCTCTTGATCTAGATTCTGAATTAAGTCATGCCACCAATTTTAACCGATCTACTACCATCGTACCTTAGCTTCTAGATGGTACCGACCGATAACACTACTTGTACAAATGAGAATATGTGACTTCACCGCTGTCTAGCGAGAAAAACGGTTAGTGCTTTTTTTCATTTAATTCTATAATATCTGTTTGTTGTAAGTATTCGGGACAATGCTTTTTCAAATCTACCTTTTCAAAAAATCCTGTACGTCATAATCCATCCATTCGTTACGTGATGCTTTCTAAATGTTTCATGGCATGTAATAGATTTATCTCGAATAAACTACGTTTTCTTTTGTCGTTTATCTCAAGACTTGAAATCTAGCGGCATGCGAGCGCTATTAGAAAACTTGAATAAACGATCCACAATTAGCTTACCACAACAAGACGTGCTACCGTTAGAGCTATACATTAGAGCATTACTGCCATTAGAGCTATACGATTCTATATTAAAAACAAAATTTACTTAGGGATTCTACCGGTGTTTAATAGTTGTTATTCTAAAAAATTACTAAACCGTTACGTTTACTTATTCGTTACCAGCAACAGTTTAAACCATCGGTTAAACGAGGCACTTGTATGAGCACTCGCTATCTTGAGTGATGCATTGATAGGCATTCGATAATACTAGGTCCGAGGAAAATACGGATCATTTTGTAGGTGCGATCATGCTGAACTTGAAGTTCCTTTGCACCCTCAGTTAAACGAGCACAAAGCCCACAGATCAAAAAGCTGTTGCTACAGATCTCAGCTCAACGAAAGTGGCAGAAAAATTTACTACTACTACTACTACCGCGTGTACCAAGGTTAATGCAAACTCTTCAACCACAGTCCGTAACAGCTCCCTCGATTTGTTTTGATTTAGCGTAAAAGTAGATGCTTTCCACGGGCTTGGCCCGATCAACCCATCAACACGCTCATTGAACAAGCTACGCTTAATGATACGCGCACAACTAAAATGAGCTGCAGAGTATATACCTGCACTATAGTGGAACATCTTATCGATGAGAGGCTTCGAAGGAAGATGACATATATTGAAGGCTGACGGTCCGTACTATCTAGACGAAACGTAATAGAAGGTGTGTCAATTATTTTTGTGGCTGAAATGCGAAAATGGTGCTCCCTCATTCTTACCTCATGAACGAAAAATTGACAAAAAAAAAAAAAAATTACTCGCTACAGTGGGAGAGATGGGTATACAGTCGAAGTAAACACCGAACCACTCCTCTGTGACAGTGGCCTTTGACTGGAGAATAGGAACAAATACGTCTTTTGAGTGGCTGTCTGCCTGTTTGCTTGCTGCATCTTGGACGAGCCGGCGGAGTGCGCTCAGCCATAAACAAGTTACCAAAGGACTAGTGGAAATATATGTTGGGTCCAAGCGATTCAAGCCATCGGTTTCATTTGGATACAGCATAGCCCTTAAACGTTAAAGGTTGTATTCACATTTAGCAGAAGCATGCTACTTCCTAAAAAATCGGTTCGATCAGTTGAAAATTCGATTTCCCCTAGAAAAAGACAACACCTTTATTAGACCTAAAAAAAATGGATAGCAAGAAATTAAAAGTGCAGAAGTCAAGTAGGTCAGAGAAATGGCCGTATAAGAAGCCTGAGCTTCTCGTTCTATCATACTTTCTTATACTATTAATCCGATGATGATTTACCCATGATGAGTTTTCCCAATTGTTTATGGACACGTCAACTCAGATAACAGACTTCACTCTGCAATAGTCCACGTCAAGCTTCCTTTTGAATATTCGTTGGTGCTGTTGTTAATTAGACTATGATAAAACATCAATGCTAAGTTCAACATTTATTTTGCCTAGGCTTATGCGTAATCGTGGACCTATTAGGTACTGCCTAAATGCTAGAGCATTTGTTCTACTGTGGGGCGCTGAAGTTCATTTGTTCTTTCTCGGTATGAACTAGAGCGACGAAATTTTAGCCAGGCGTTTGGATGTATAAGACACATCATTGAATACGACTGTGATTCGAAAGGCCTGTTTTTGTTCAACAATGGCATCGAAGCACCGTTACCTTATTTACACGGCGTACTTTTTATCGGACGTGCAAGTAATTGAGAATCTTACAGATTAACTAGCAAAGCGAGATAATTCGTACCCACCCACGTGCCCGATGGCAGTCCGAAATCATAGAAGGATTTCGGTAGTTTTCATTATATATCTAACACGTAAAGAAAACATTGATTTAGACTTAAATTGTCTCATTGTTCTTTTTAGCATTGACTTTTTCATCGCTCAGATTTCGTACCGTTTAAATTTTTTCCGATGATCGTTTGAAGATGACGATGCCGTCCACAATAAAGTGTAGCCGTAACGGAGTTTATGATTTCACGCTTCAAATATTGGGCTTGTCTTCAAAGTTTAAGCACAACAGTATCGACTCGAATGATTTTGGGATGAATGGACCAGATCAAGAAGCTTATCCAGCCTTGCTCACCTATAAACAGTAACGGTATGAATGAGCGACGGGTTCATGACATCCACGAAGTCCATTTCATCTAATTGCGTCAGTAGAACGATTTGAATCTAAGCGCCTCGAGGTAGCAAAACAAACGACATTTAAAAGTCACCGTTATCTCGTCTGCTATTCACGGTCAGCTCATTAGCGGCCGAACATCCGGATAACTTAAGCGAATAAAAATATAGAATTGCACTAAGCTGTTTTTTAGTCTTCTGTCTGTAGGAGAGAAGAAAAACAGGCCTAAGAAGCATGGCTACATATGCTGTGAAGATACCTTTTTGACATTTGGTCTAATGTGAAGTGCATATGTACACTAAGTAATGCCAGGTTATGGAACGGATAATAGCAAATAATTTTTTTAGTTTTTGCTTGATCTTTACCATTTTTTGTAAAGGTTGAAATTGCATAAGAAGAACTGCGATTTGATGTTATATGATAGTATTATCTAAAGCTAGAAATATGTTTGTGGAATAGTAAATGATCCTAGAAGAAGAACGTTGGTGTGACAAAACCGGTAGACAGTTGAGCATACGAGAATGAGATTTCGGCTTCGATTCCTCTGAGTGTTATAGATAGATAGATCCAAATAGATTAATTCTTCAGTATCAGCACACCGCAAAGTCACATCAGAATTAAAACTGCTACAATAAATCGCTTCCACCACGCCACAAGCATCATTTTTCATTACAAGGGTGTCGATGCTGAAAGATTTAAACACTTGTAGCGTTCTGATAAAGTCCTTTACTATATGCCTAATATTCTTTTTAGACTGGATCAACCTAACAGATGCAGCTCTTCATTATTCTAACTTTGCTAAGGAAAATTCAACTGCCTGTAAGCTAATTGATCGTAGATCGAAGCAGCGGATGAAGAGGATATTCAGCTACCTGCTGCCATACTGTACTTTAACGTATACCGTGAAAAGACGGGCAAGAAGGTATACTACGACATGATTATGTACACTGTTGAATGGGGCTTTGGTCAAATATCTCTACACCCTTTGAGTTCGTAGATGTTTGTATGGACAAAGACTTGAGCAAAACTACACAGGCAGTAGGTAGTAGAGTGGGTGATGGGCAAACCGGCTGCGTAGAGACGGAACGGGAACGGGCAGGCGCTAATGGGCTAACTGATAAGAGTAATCGTGAACAATAGCTCTTGCATCTAAGAGCAAAAGCCTTCTGTGGATACGGGGGCTACGCAGTGAGCCGCGAAGCTTAATAAAGGTGATAATGCGGAGAAGGATAACTCTTTGGTGAGACACAACGATGTCGGGTACATTGTAGCGATCATAGGTAGTTGGATGCCTAAGCTGTATCGAGCGATACCTTAGAACTGCCTGTGAATGCACAGGTACGTATTTACCGGCTGGTGCAAGAGGGGATTCCCTTATGCACGACCAGCCAACTGTACAGGGACAATTTCAATGTCCTTAGGCTTAGTCCCTGTCTATATTGTGACATTTGGTAATATAAAGCATCGACGCAAAGCCACTAGTCATTGAAGGAGAACCTAACTTGTATAGGTAGGTAAAGCAGGTCACCTAATATAAATACATGTGTCTGTAGTCTATTGTAAGGATGGGCAAGCTTTTGTGTGTTGGCAACTAGTCACATTTCATCCTACAGGTATCCACATATGTTTTTAATTTCCACCATGCAAAAATTTATTAGCCTATGCTATGAGCGTGTTCTCTATTTTGTTCTGGCCGGCAAGTTCTGTCACGAGCTGAATCTTCTCACTGGCAAAGCTCACTTACTGAAGTCCGATATCGCCGGACGGCGTTCGCCATAGGTTGGCCGTCACTCACATTTGCAGTTGCTTTCGCACATTTTCTCTTTGGTCCTTTGCAGTTTGTGTTTAGCAGCAGCGAAATGCGGAAACAACTAGTACATATGGGACAGCGATTATGAACGGTTTTGAGCAGCAGAATTGCGTTACGTGACTCGCACGCACAGCTGTACCATATGGGCAGAAGTAACAGCAGTAACTGTAGGAGGTACCGAAGCATGCTACGAGGACGCGACATCTGCTTACGGAAAGTTTTCAACTCTGCGAGATGGCTAGTCCTTCTCTCATTCTCGTCCTGTGCTCGCCCCCCTATGTTCCTGTATGGCATTGTGTGTAATGGCGGCCGAAGCGGCATTGCTGGAAATTGTCGTGCGACTCCTGTTGACAGCTTGACGTTAGCGGATGACACCTTGGCAGCGCCGTCGTACAACGACGAGCAAAGGATTCAACAATGACTCGCACAGCAGCAGCAGCAGCAGCAGCGGAAACGAAATAGCATGACAAAGTTCATTCTGCAAAGAAAAAAAATCGAGTTCTTTTAGTAACAATCGTTGCGCAGTCTTGCCAATCTAAAACTATTTCTTATAACAGTTTCTGCTAGACGGTGTGTAAGCACATCTACAGTTGAGAGCCGATCATCGTAAGTTAATAATGTAATCCACAAGTATAGCAGTTCATAGGTCTCCTAGCGAACCTGAACTAGAGAGTCTTCGTCTCGACATTCGTGTCATTCCGCTGGATAAAGATTAAATTAAATTAAAATTAGTTAAAAACCGTCATCAACTGATTCACGACTTGTATGAATATTTGCCGAGTGTATTATTATCCATAGATCCGTTTTAGCGCATTCGGTAACAGCTCTCACACAGAAAAAATTGTTGCTCGTCCTTAATGAATGACAAGGTCATGACTCGCAGACGATGGTAAAAGCTTTATTACAGTCGTTCTAATATCATTGAGATTCCATAGTAGTATAAGTCTATATAAAGCTCAAATCACAATCTTTTGAGAACTATAAAAATATACATAATCGTCATTGTAACAAGAATATATTGCAACTCTCATTATATATATATATATATATATATACTCAAATTGACGAAGTGATTTAGATTATATATATAGTACACTTTATGGAATATCAACTCGACCGGAACTATTGCGTATGTTAACATGAAAAGAAGTAGAGCAGCCTCGACCAGTTTCACTACATTTTTGAGTTCCACCGGCTGTACTACAGTAGCCTTCTCTGCCCTTCACTAGCCATTTTCCAAACAAGGAAATGTATACGAGTTTTGTATGTGAAGACAAATTGAGGGTAACTGTATATTGAAGTTGATGTCCCGTTTCCAACCCCTAAAAAGATAGCCCGTTCCCATGCTTGCCTGGTGTAACTAAAGTGACACACAGATGTTTGTTCCGGAGACATACAAAAACAACAGCGATCGACAGGGTTGAGCTCAAGAAGAAGAGGGGTAACGGCACTTCTGGTGGGTAAGTTTAGAAGAAGTAAAAAATACACTCCAAAAAAGTGGGCCTTTAGAAAACTTTTTCAAAAGTTTTTTATCGAGCTTTTTTTTTGCTTTATTGTTGCTGGGGACTGTAGGTTGTTAACGACAAACAGTAGGGTAGAAAAACGATCACAAATAGAAATGAGCAGAATTTGCACTCGTGTACGTTTGACTCATTTCTTATTGGCTTGCCGAACTGTTAAAAGATCCTCCCCTATTCATCTATGGCACACGCTAATCATGAAGATAAAAACAAGTTTTCCAATTTTGTTGGAAATCGCTGAAATACAGAACAAATATATTTTATCTCGGTAAGTCTGTCTTCAAGAAAAACACCTGGATATGCGATTATAAATCAATACTTATCCATGTAAATGTATGCACATGTTTGGGCAGTCATGGGTAACTATGTCATCATTATATATGCATATATGCAATAAATTAGGTAAAAAGCGTTTTCATAACTAGTGAACCATTATTATCTATTTTACTATCTGAACGGAAATCAGTATCAGAAAATATCTGGCGCGAGCCATAAAATTCGATGGCAATCAATCATTATAACAATGTCTACCATATTGCTACGTCACAGAATCCCTATCAGGATGGAAGTTTGTTTCAGAAACAAAGCTATTTACAATTGAAATGACTTTTTTTCATTTGTTTCTTTGACCTAGTCAAACTTGGACATCAACGCCACAAAATACTTGAAAAGGTTTTAAAGGGTTCGGTAGACAATTGACCAGATACATACCTCTAACAACGTCGCCACGCATCGAGTAATTCGTATATGTCCATCTGTATACGTCTACTTAAATTGCGGTGTGCATAATGAGGCTGTGAGTGCATTGCAATCGTTTGTATTAGTAGGTATTTCGTGATCTGATGGCTTCATCAGACACTCAGGAGTTTATAAAAGCCGCAAGCGACTAAATTGGGCTAGACGGCAAATATTACGGCTACTAGAAGAGCAGTCTTTCGGTCGCTGAGTTGTTGTGACGATTGGCTATTCTTTTTCCACTCACTTGCACCATTGTTCATCGAATTATTCACACCTATATCGAGTTCAAGGCCGGTTAACAGTACAATTAAGAGCACCCGCGCTAGGGAAATGGGTAACTGGCTTTACAATGAAGGTGGGCAGGCAACCAGGTAAGCACACAAGTTGCGATAAGTTGGGCGACATTGTGTCAGCTCACCGAACCATACACGCCTCGAGCGAGTACCGAGCAGTCATCGAAGCTTCTATTTGACAAAAATTGCATCCAACCTTCTACGGGATCTATTGCCCTAGGCTAAGTAACGAGGGTTCGCTATGGGACACTAGCCAGGATGGAGTAGTTAGGGGTAACGGCGATGGCCTGCGACGAGGTGGGGGTGGAGCCGCTTAGAGACTTGTACTGCTGGTAGTGATAAGAATGCTATGGTTGGGTACGCCACTACTGTCGTGATAAATAGGTCGAATGAATGAGCACAACTCACCCAAGCTGATTGGCGGCAACGGCGGTCTGTGGCGTTACGATGGTGTTAGACAGTCGCTTTAAAGATGACAGGACGAAGCTTTTGCTTATTTACGATGGTTCGGGACTAGCAGTCCTCGCTGGCTGACTATTCGCTTGTATTTTGGCACTGGAGCATTTATTAAGCTAGTCATGTTCTTTTGAGATATCTAAACTAAGTTCAAGTTGTTTAGGACAATTTGGCTAAACAAGAACATAGGCTTGTTCCCAACTAATAGAGAGAGGTAATACCTGTTACAGAGAGACGTACCACCTATTTCGAAGAAGATACTTTTGTTCGTTCTTAATGTCCAGTTGGTAAATCAAAATGCCATTAGGCAACAAACAACCATCATGTGTTCCTCTTTAGGGAAGCCCTTTAAAGTCTCAAGCATCTACACACATTGAGAGCAAGGTCGGTATATACGCTGATAAAAGCGAGTGCTTCTTTAATGGCGGATGAAGCTAGAAAGGAACGTGATACAAACGCTAGAAAGCACCATCTGTTTTTTTTTTTCAATTCAGTTATTTGTATCGATATCGTTTTTATTTGGATTCTCTAGAACAACAGGCATGAATCTAGCGACAGGCTGTAACAGGAATCACTGGCAATAGGTTCACTGAGTGCACATGTGATGCTCAATTAGTCAAACTTAAGTATATTCTTCTTCTATTTTTTATCGGTACACACTTTGTAATACGCAGATGAAAGCTTTAAACTAGAGCTCTGAACGATTCAACAATACTTCACATTTAATTCAGGCGGTTGACCGAAGTCAGGTATCAGCATATGACATGAAATTCACAAAAAAAAAATCATGATTGAAAAAAAAAGTGAGGCCTTGAGCAAAACTATCAAGCCGATAGTTTAATGTTCTAAATTATCTTCTATCGCCTGATTGCTAGTCAACCCTAGAACGAATCAGAAGTCAAGACTGTGCTCTCATATTTGGCACATGCGGGACGTTAGGAAAATTTTTTTGGTTAGGACTGATCGAAACTAAGTTGCTTTTTAAGCAAGTGGCAAAGAATACGGATGGCGAATTTCTCTTTAGACTATTCGATAAAGCAGCCATTGGCATCGATACGCGGCAGGTGAAAATGGCTTCGTAAGCAAACGACAACTATGTTTAAATCATTATAAATCATCAACGTCGCATGACGAGCAGTATATTTCATCTTAAAAAAATAATACAGCTAAACAAAAATTAACGAGAACTATATATTTATTGTTTTTTTTTTCGTACGTTAAGTTTATGACTAGGCAAAGTATGTTGACGGCGCAACAATGTGCGGCATTATCTGCCAGATTAGCTGATTTTTAAGACAAAACTAAGCAGATGAACGGCGAGCTGTATAGCATGATTGATTGCGATTAGGGTTGTTCCCTGCTCGTGTCTAGTCACCATCAGTTAATAGTCAAAACTCACGCTCATCATTCACCTGCAACGTTGGTACAGGTATCGCAGAACGACTAGGACCAGGCATAGTGAAGTTGCTTGTTGCCGCTTACTCAGCTGCCAGAATACCGTTAACCATTATACAGGAATAGGCCGATGTCAAAAATGATCATAGCAGAGATAATGGCGAGATAATGGTGATAACATAAATTCTATTTCTTCAGTAGAATGGGTAGATGTGGCTTTTGCCTGAACGAAGTAAAAAGGCTGCATAACAATTGTCTCGGTTAGTTCATGTTGATGGACAGTATGGTAAGGAGATTTATCGTGAATAGAGTCGGTTATATTGCAGTGACTAATACGCCTTACTATGAAATGTCGCAACAGATCACTCATTGTTCTGATATAAACAAGAGTGTCCTAAAATAAGAGCTTTGATATTGATTTTAATTGAAAGGGTGTTGGTTACCTCTAGCCTTTGTTGGGCTCCAGTTCGCTGGCTAAGCTGCGGACTTACTCAGGCACAAGCCCCTATAGCAAAATAACTTTTTAGGTGACTTTCTGTAAAACGAAATCGTCACTTGGTATTGTAATAGATCCTAATTTGACGCAAACGGGAAAAAAAAACCTAAATGCTAGCTTTTTGCACGCACGGTAGGTAGTAGGTAGAGAGGAAAAATAATCGATAACCTGTCAGACTTAGACAAATATAGAAAACAGTAATCGCCAATCCTGGACGGGGCAAGCGTTGGCATGCGAACTACGTAATAAAGCTACATAGTCTTGTCTCACAAAACATACCATTCTCACCTTTACCGAATGACCATTCGACGTTATAGAATACATAGAAGTTACATCGTTGGAACTATAACTGTGCATGGGACATGTAAATATATGAACGTTGAAACTAGCTATTTTATTTTGATTAGCTATTTTCGCAATCCATTGGTGAATTCTATGAGTGCAAGTTCTCAAGCTGTTCTAAGTTATCCGCTCTAACGTCAGCTCGACCACCTGTATTCCTTAAAGGACTCGTGCCTGTAATAGGAGCGAGAGAGATAACATAGGAATTTTCTGGCCAAGGTTGCACTTGTGTTTGGAGGATTAATAAAGACAGATTAGAATTGTACTGATAAGTTGGCTGGTGTTCTTTAGTAACAAACACCTTCTTCTATATCCATCGAATAGTGCACTACATGTATGGGAGAATCCAATTCACAACTACTTCGGGAGATAGGCAAATTCACTAAGAGTGAAGTCATGTAAATTAGCATTCGGAAAACTCCGCGCCAAATGTTTGAAATGTACAGGCCCATCGTCGTTTGGCTAGTACCGTCTATCGCATGCGTTGTATATTCACTCCCGTCTATGCTGTGTTATGTCACAATAAACTAAGCCATCTCGCACGCGCGACTTTTACCAATAAAGGGCCTAATTTTCGGAACAAGGCGTAGTCAGCAATTTCGTAACGATAAACACTACCCTGCTTTTTGCCGCCATCATCGCCTTTTCGTTCGGTTTCCGCACAGCCAAAAGTAAAACCGTGTGAGTTGTTTTCAAGCATCTTACCTAGAACGCAACGTCCCGCAGTCGGCATCGATCAACAGCGTTCCCGACAGACTATTACGGCCACAACATTCGCCAATAACAATATCGTATCGTCTTCGAATACGGTATGCGGTATTGAATCCAGAAACCAGACCGCTACAACTGTCTCAGTTTTTCATCTTACGAACTAACAGCATCGGCTCTCACTGGAACTAACGCTACTGAGTCGGTGTTGACGTAAAGGATGGATTAAATGCGTTCTGCTATTTCGAATAATAATCATCACAACCGTAAATGGGGAAAAGAGAGAAACGATCCTATCACTTCGAATCTACTACCCGTATTGTATTCTGTATGGCCAGTTTGGCTAAAGACAGAACTCTCCTCATTACCTGCCCCCCGTAACAGCGATCGAAACTTTCACTTGTAATTCTGTTCGGGTCTCACATACACAGACCGATTTTGCATGCAACGCAGGCGTACACGCAGCTCCGGTATCTTCCCTGAATAAACAGAAACGAGCTGGAAGCTGACCAGAAGCTCTTGGGGTATTAGTTACCGCTGGAGCCGGCCAGACCGTCGTTGCCTTTGGCTTTGTCGAAGTGGATCCGATCCACGCTTGAGCGTACGGAAATCGCAGCAAGCAATGGCAAAACAAACCAGAAGCAAAGTGAAATTGATTTCGAAGTTAATGTGTTTGGGAAGAAGACGAAATTATTGAAGATAGGTGCTTATTGCAACCGTGACGACAACTAAAAAAATTGGTAAAAACGATTTACAGATCCCCAGCGGAATTATAATCAACAGAGGTTCGAATCACAACAGTACCGTCATGAATGGCTCAACCGTAATAGTTTAGTCCTTAATCGGACATCTGTGCCTAAGGGGAGGGGCCGGCGAGGGGGAAAGGGGCGTGGCAATTTAGATGATGTGTCATACCAGAAGCCCCATCGAAACCACGAAGTCTCTAGGACTCACTTATATAATAGCATCGTTTAAACTGTTACGAAACGATAAGGCAAAGTCGGACAATTTTAATGTATAATGACCTACTATTGACAACGTGACTTTCGCTTTGTGTACAATTACATAAACACAACGAGACTAGAGGTAACCTGTGTGACAAGGACCAGCCTAATTCAAGCCTTTTGTTTCCGGCAAAGGTTTGATAATTCGCGGGTTGGTCGTAACATGAAGTGGTTATCATTTAAATGCAATAATAGTAACATATATAATAATAATAAAATGCAAAAATAATAATAAATGCTACTGAACACTGGAAAGACGGTCGAATGTTCGCTAAACGATACTATCAGCCACAAAAAACAGACAATCATGCGAAGAATTTGCAAAGTCTAGATGATGCTCTCTGTACAACATGGAGGGTCGCAAGCAGATCGAGGTAATCACAAAAACTGATGCAGAAGTTTTTACTGCTGCAGTTATCCTGGCTGCAGTTCATGCACGCTCATATTCTCGAATGAAATCACATGTGACAGTGCTAGCTGACTTAGCACAACCAGGACGTCTTTCATTAGGTTCTGCTCGTGAGTTCTTTAACTAGGACTAGTAATTGGTCCCGAAGTGAAACCTTCAACCTTGATTTGAATCATTTTAATTTAAAGGTTTTTAGTTACTTCTAGCCTTTATTGGGCTCAGGTTCGCTGGCTAAGCTGAGGCCTTACTCGAACACAAATCTATATATTACAGGATAATGTTTTTAGGTGATTTTCTG